AATGACTGTTGGTTGGTGTGCTGAGAAGGTGATAACAGGAGGCAGGTAACATGTTTTCACATCTTCACCTCTGTTGTTAATGTATGCAGTGGCTCATCAGAGGTAGTTCATGATAATTTATTCCTGCACACCTGTACAGGGCTGGAAGTCAGGTAATCAGAAAAGCAAAAACTATACATCTCTGCTTTTTAGCTACAGCTACCCAGAGTCCCATATAGGAACAAATTTAGTTCTGGAGACATCAGCAGGTTTTAATAAACCAAATACAGATGTCTTACTCCAGCAATAGAGAAGTTTACATGTTTAAATCCGGACTGATTTGACTAGCAATCAAAGAGAAGGTTCACACTTGGCACCAATGGGTGCCTCATATTTATTTATAAATCATCCTCAGCAAATATTATTTTGTTTTTCAACTTATTCATGTGGCTGAATCGCCTTTCCTACACCTTGAAGATCAAACATATGCTTACCTTTCTGATAAAATTTAAGACAAACCTTGACAATTAGTGGCCACTACTCTGAAACAAAGAGGGGGAACAAAGATGGTAAAACTTATGTAGGATGAAAAACAGACAATTACTTCTTTTCTACATAGATCATCTAGTTTCTGAGTCTTCTATTTTAGTTGAGGGAGTTTTTAAACTGCCAATCACTAAAGCAAATGTAAATGGATTTTAACATATTAGCAAATAATATTAGAAATGTTAGGAAAGACGACAGAAGGGCATTTACTTTGTTGCTGTTGTTGTCTTTTCCCCTAAATAAAAATCAAATGTAATCTATAAATGGGTTTCTTTTAAATAGAGGTGATCCATGGCCACCCAGTCCTCTTAGGAATGAAAAGTTACGTCAGGAATGACCAAAGGAAATAGACTCAGCTAATTCTGACTGTGATGCTCGCTCTCTCTCTCTTCAAGAAAATTTCCTTTATGAAGACTGTAGGTTCCAGTCAGTTAGAATTTCTTCTTCCCAGGGAAGATTTCTTATGTATACTTCAAAACAGAGGGCCAGCATCTAGCAGCAGAAAAACCAAGGGATAAACAAGAAGGAAGGAAGAGTGTTTACAGACTTTCAAAATCTCACACTACACAATGTTATCTGTATATAGTACTTGAACACTTAGCAATCACCCTAGAGTACCAGAGTTCTTTATAGAGAAAGCTATTTACATTTCACTTTTACCTCTCAGAATAAAAATTATTCTCACAGCTACCAAGTCAGAATGGTACCAAGTATATATTAGCTTGCTCTTTGTCATTAGTGTGGGATGGTCCTCTTGACTTTTTAATTTATTAAACACACACTCATTTACAACTATATAGAAAAGGGTACTTGTGATACTGTTGCTTAGAGTCATCAGCCCTAGGAAATCTTGCGTGTACCCCTCTCTCTCTCCTCCTTCGCTGTCACTTTAGACAACGAACATTATTGCTTTTTCAAAGTCTTTATTCGACTTGATCTTACAAAATCTAAAAAGACCACAAGGAAAAACCTGGGAATCTTTGCTAACCAACCGCCAAACATAAAACACAGTATTTAATATCTTTCTACCTTCATCTTACTAACATGCCTATCTGGAGACCAAAAAATCCAACTCCCTCATGTATAACCATCTTGGAAGAAGCCCAGGAAGACCCGTGTAAAACTCCTATAAGGTTTTCTGATCTTGGAGACAAGAAGGCTGCTTTTATAAACAGAAGGAAGAGGGTGATTCTGTTGGCTTTTATGACAGGTATTCTAGAAACCCTATAGCTTTGCACACTTCAGCCCCCACTCAAAAATTCCCTCTAATGCTTTATTTGCACAAGGAAGACATTGTGGAGACAAGGATAGATGAAATCGAGACTCTGGAGAGGAAAGAAATGGGCCTGAGGACAGCAGGATTAAAGGCAAAGGAGGGTTTCTGTTTGGGAAGGTCTGTTGGCTCAAGAAAAGGGTAAGAAAACCTGTCTTAGCTTCACGGCAAACTGAAAAGGGAAAAAAATAGGGACACGAACTTCCTGGGGTTCTTATGACTAGTGTCGTAAAAGTGAAGAGAGGGGAGAAGGTAAGTCTAAGGGATAGATCAGAGATGTGATCCAAGAGGCTTTGTGAATAAAGAGATTAAATCACAGGTTGACATTAGCTGACGAGATGATAATAAAAGGTACAATTAGTTATGCTCCACAGTCTATTCCGCTGAGATGCAGGAAGAGGCTGGTACCCTAAGTGGCATCACTATTTCTGGTTATTTGATGGTAGCTAAACTCACATCATTATATTAACTCAAGTCATAACTCAACCAGGGTATACTCTTTCTTCCTAAGGGAAAAAAAATTAAAGTATCAGAGGCCAGGTGTGGTGACTGATGCCTGTAATCCCATCACTTTGGGAGGGTGAGGAGGGTGGATTGCTTGAGCCTAGGAGTTCAAGATCAGCCTGGGCAATATAATGAGACCTCGTCTCTACAAAAAATTTTTAAAAAATTAGCCAGGTGTGGTGGCAGGTACCTGCCATCCCAATTATTTGGGAGGCTGAGGCAGAGGAAATCGCCTGAGCCCAGGTGGTCAAGGCTATGGTGAGCCGTGATCATACCACTGTACTCCAGAGTGGGAAACAGTGATACCCCGACCCCAGCTCCTAAAAAAAAAAAAAAAAAAAATAGTATCAGAATTTTTGTTGTTTTTAACCTGGTATCAAAATATTTGTGTATTTTTACCAAATCAAAATTTCAAGTGGGAATCAAACAATTTTTACTCCCTAATTTTTTTCAATTTGCTTTTCTTAATTTATCATGTGGATAAAACTCTAAATTTAAAAAGACTGGGTATGATGTGATTTCACCCAAATGAAATGTATCAGCTGTCTACTGAAGTTTGCTATCTCCTGTGTGACTGAACACACAAGGGAGCACATCTGTACTATTCTTCCACCTGAAATATCCTAATCATTCTAGATACTAGTCTAAACTTCTATATGGCTGGTCATTAACTAAGCTCCAAACACTTAGAATAAAAATGCAGACTGAAATATTCTCCTGCTTTCGCTAAATGTTTTCTTCAGACAAACTAATCCACAGCACCTTCACAGCATCTCCTCATGCATTAAGCCATATACACACAAGTGTCTTTTCTAGTTGTTTCACATACAAGAAAGTACCAAGCTTTGGGTGTCCATCATTTGGGTCCCACATCTATCTATTCTAGAGTTATGACTTGCATTATTTTCAGCAAACCAACCAAAACTGTGATAGGAATTCATGCAAATGAGCTTAAACTTTGGTTTGTCTTCAAACACTCCCCATTCCCACAAATATTTTATGCTGGTGTTCATGAGTCTTCTGTTTTTGTTTTGGATAATCCAGTGCATTAACCTCATTATCACAAGTATACTATTTCAAATTTAAAAGAATGAGTATTACAAATATGGGACGCTGGATAAAGTATTTTTCAATATACAGCTATCTTATCTGACATATTCTGGGACTGTCAATGATAACTTGAAACTGAAAATAACTTTGTGACTTAGAAGCCATTTTTATAGAACAAAGTAAATGGGGGTGGGAAAATCTTTAAAAAGATAGATTTATCCTCAAATCATGTTTTGACTTGTATAAGAAAGACACTTATTTTCTTAGAGATGTTGCTTTTTATAGATTGGGCCCCTTTTATTTCAGTGGAAAGGAAAATATATCCTTTAAACTTTTCTTTAGAAAAGGACTGATCTTTCAAATACGAAGACAAAACAGAATGTCCTAGAGACAGGTCACCACTTCTCAGTGGTACTTTTATTGCATGTTATTTTGCCAAAGAACCCTATCCAATTGATAAGCATTAGAATCTGGGTGGTGGCTATTTGGAAACTTAATTAATTTAATGTATTTCTTCTACATATATTGATTTCTACCATGTAATAAAAACTTCTCTTAAAGATATTCTTAAAAGACAAGGTAGACCCCCAAACCACACCCAATAGGATGGGAAGTACTAACTGGTGTGTGACCTGAGTATTATGTAAAAGATCTGCTCACAAGCTTATCTCCTTAAGTGTAGGATAACGATGTTACCTGGCCACCAGCCACCTCGACACATTCCGCTATTTTACATTTTCTTTAGGATTAATAAAGAACACTGTAGGTTTAGGGCCAGATGCTTCTGTTTAAGCCCAACTGTTCCAGAGCTGCAACTACATAGCAAGGGTGTGATGTCACCTGAAGGCTGGGCATAATATATTTTAACTGACCCTAAAAGTGTACGCATGCCTTCTTCTCTGTGCGTCATTCCCACGGTAGGCTATCGTTTAGAGATGTGCTCAAAGACATTCTGAGGTTAAAATAAAGAACCCCACACCACCATACCATTTTCCCACATCAACAATTACTTTGGTCCCATTGTCTTCTGATACTTTTCATGACTTAAATAATTCAAGGACACACTAAATACTCATGTAAGGAATGATAACATTTCTGGTTATACCTACGGAGATGCAGGCTGTCTCGATGTCCTGGACCTATGGTTCTTTCCATCCGTAAATTTCTGTTTCTATATTGGATAAATATGTGTGTATGAAGATAATATATTGATTTAATTAAAAAGCCACAAGGCAAAGCAGAAATATATATATATATATATATATATATATATAAAATATATATATAAATAACAGAAGCTGCGGCTTCTGAGTGAAGGTTTACGGGAAGGCAGGGAACCACGTACATAGTCAACTTATTCACACCTAGATGCATGGAAACGCAAACACACACACATACACAGCGCACAGAGAAAAATGGCGTGCATTACGGGTAAGATGGCATACGATACTGCATGCTTAATCATTAACAAGCACCAACTGCAACAATCCCTCATGAGCATGGCAGCTTAGTTCTCACACGGTCCCCGTGGACAATCTTGGCAGTGCATCAAAAACATCTAGGTTGGATCTTTTTAATGTCAAGTCCAGCATGACTGAGACCGGCACCCTCCGCCCCCAGCAGGAGCAGCCAAGGGAGATTTACTGACCTGTCTCTGCTCCGGCGAGAGGGGAACGCAGCATTGCAGCCAGCCACCGTGCAGACGTGCATCTCTTTTAAGTGAACGTTCCTGTAGTGAAGCTTCACGCTGTAGGAGCTTTTGAAACTCTTCTTGCACACGTAACAGATTTTGGGGTCTGGGCTCGAACACAGGTCACCCTCCGGGGAGAACTTTTGAGGGCTGCCATAGCTCAGAGAGGATGCAAAGCTTTCGTGCAGGGCAGCCATGCCGGCCCCCCCACCGTTGTACAGTCCGTACTGGCTCATGTAGAACATGTCGTACGTGGGGTCTGTAAACTCCTCCTTCACCTTGATGACATCCTGGTGAGAGGGCTCGCTGTGGTTCTCGGCGGGCCGCTCGCTGGTCATCAGGACCTTGGCGCTGACCTCGCTGTGAAGGTGCTCGTCCCCCTCCATGGACTCCTCGCCCAGCTTGGGCTCCGAAGACTCAGACTCATCCTCATAGTCTCGCTCGGGCTCTTGGTCCTCGGAAGTCATGCTGTCGGCCCTTCCGATTTCAGTCCTGGAAACGCACCGGGCCCTGCCGTGCTTCGCCAAGTCCCTCCCCGACATGCCGGGGCTCATCTCCTCCTGGGAGTGACAGTGGTTGCCATGGCTCACGTCGCTGACCACCGCTCCGCCTTCGTTGGGGTCGTCGTCTTCGTCATCAAACTCGTCGGCGGTGTCGAGAATTTCCTTCTCAATCTTCACCGGCATGCTCGACTTCCGGGGCTTCTTCTTGGGCGCCAGGTCGGCGCTGGGCTCGTGGGTGGCCACCATCACGGCTGGCCCGGCTGGCTCAGGGGCAGGCGGGGGGTGCTGCTCCCCGGGACCACTGGGGGGAATGATGGGACTGGTGGGGAGGGAGGAGGGAGGGCTCACCATCTCCCCCGGGGTGAGGACGCTTCTGTAAAACGGCGGAACGGGCTGGACAGTCTTGAGCCCCGAAAACACCAGCTGGCTGGGCAGCGGGCTCTGCAAGACGGGGTCGAGCGGGGGCGTGGCGAAACCCAGGGGGGGCCGGCCGGGGCTCGTGAGCGCGAGGCTCGACTTTGTGCTCGCTATGACGGGGGTGGCAGCTCCCGAGGTGGCCCGAATCAAATCTTTGTCCCGGTTGTTCCTCAGCATGGGCATGTGGAGGCGAGGGTTGGGGTTTGCACTGTGGCGGTTGCGGCTGCGGAGGGAGCTGAAGACCATGTTGCAGCCCTCGATCGTGCACCGATGCTTGATCTTCAGGTGCACGGCATTGTAATGAATTTTGAGGGTGCCTTTGTCGTAGAAGGTCTTCCCACAGGCGTTGCAGAACACCCTCCCTTTCCTAGAGGCGGACCCCATCCTTCTCATCCGATGAATCCGGAAGGAGCTTTTGGGGTGTTCCGCTTTGGTGAGGTCGCCGACCGGGGCGGAACTCTGAATAGGGGAGACACAGGCTGGCTCGGTTTTGGGCTCCACGTTAGTAATGCTGGTCAGGGCATTTCGGTTGGGCGTCTGATCGTTCTTGTAAGGTGTGGGGGAGACTTCGGACTCACTGCTCTCATTATATTCGTTCTGGGTTGACAGGCTGGGCTCCCGCAGCCTCAGTCCCGGCTGCTCTAGCAGCAGCCCGTTGGGGGGCAACCCTAGCAGTGGGGCTGAGACAGGGTTTATGTATTGGAATGGAAGCAGAAATGCAAGGCTGTTTGGGATGTTTTCGAAGTGATGAATGCTGGAAGGATTGCTGTTCTCCAAGTGAGCAAGGAGGCTGGGACTCCTGGTGCGATTATTGCTCTCTATGAAGGTCCTTATGTCTGAGTCTGTCTTTGAAGACGGTACAGCCACGGCCTGCCCCTCTTTCTCCTGAATTGCCATCAGCTCCACTATGGATTTGGTTTCTCCAAACCGCAGAAACTGCTGAAGGGTGATGATTTCCTCTTCTCGAGACATGATGGCCCAGCGGTCCAGCACCTTGCCGGCAGCATCCTAGAGGCCACATCAAAGAAACAACAAAGACAAACACAAAAACTTATTGATTGTGCATAATTATTCAGTGCAACCGAAGGTGCTCTGTCTGCTCATAAAGCATCGAGAGCAAGAGCAGAAAACAACATGCAAGCACTGTTAATAAAAGTCAACCCACAAAGCAAACTTTTCTGCCATGCAAATGTAGTCATGAGAGTCACAGTTAGAGAAACAGATTGAGTTTAATAATGTCAAAGCAAACACGATGGAGACCACTGGGGCTCTGTGATCTAAAATGCCTTCAGTACAGCTTTTAACAACAATGATCTATATACTATGCAACTATTTAGCATATATTAGTATAAGACGTGAGTTCTTGCTGTGCAACCCAGTATAAGTGCAAAAAATTGGTACCTTAATCCTTATTAAATAGTGACACCATAGGAAGGAATTAAGTACGTTTTGTAAAATGTACTTCTTCAACACAAGCAGACATGACACTGGATTCAATGATGAAAATTCTTTAAATAGGAGTTATACGAATTTCTGAATCAAAAAGATGAATAAAGCAGCATTACCCCTCATATCCCCCATAACTAAGTTGTATCTTTTCTTTTTTGAATGGCTATATTTTAGTATCACTTAATAGTGGGCAATTTCATAAGGTAGAGTAAGGAAAACATCGCTCGTAAAAGGTAATTGTACTCTTCTTGAAAATTGGTTGTAATCCTATGATTCAAAGTTTGAGTTAGACTTAATGTATTTGACTTTTTATGATCTTGTTATAAATGACAGTCATAGATATTTAAAAAGTAAACATGTGATGGATTTAGATAGAATAAATGTGTTAAGAGTTGTCTCTTAGCATCCTCTTCTGATAGCAAAGGGAGTCCACAGAGAATACACATCAGTAATCCCCAGACTATGTGTTGTTAAATATACATTAAAAAGCATTTCACACTTTCATTTTTGCTAGTAACTATGAAATTTGCCTGGAGGTAGGACTTAAAAATCCTGCAATGTAATGTCAGGCAATCCACTGCAGCACGGATTGAGGGAAATCTATTCAAACACTTAAATAATGACTCCACCATTTTCTAGGGCACCATTTCTTCCCACCACGTAGGGACACTTGGCAGTCCTCTGTGAACGACACTGGTTCCAACCCTGACATTAACTTAAGAAAGCATAAAATCCTCTTTAAAAACAAAGTGACCAGATACTTATTAATTACAAAGGGAAAATAACTTCACAGCGGAAAAACCTAACAGACCTCACCTTTAAAGAGTAACTGAAGTTAAACATCAACCATGGAAGTCATATTGACATCAAGTACCTCTCGACGGGATATACTGAGAAAGGCACAACATTGCTTTTATGGCACCCTCACCCAAAATTCACCACCTCAACTCAATCGTTAGAAAACATCAGGCAGACAAAGTTAAAGAGTGTTCTATAAAATGGTATATAGTACTCTTCAAAGTGTAAAGGTCAGGAAAGATGAAAAACAACAACAAAGAATGGTTAGAGATTACAGGGAACTAAGAAGATATAACTGTGTTATTCTAGAGATCTCAGACCAGGAAAAGGACATTCGGGGTAAAACTAGCAAGATTTGAATAAAGTCTCTAGAAGAGTTAATAGTATTGCATCACCCTTAATTTCCTGGTTTTCGCGACTGTATCACGATTGTGTAGTATGTTACACGAGGGACAGCAGGAAGAGGGTTACAAGGGACTGTAGTACTTTAGCAATGGAACAGTCTCTCCTCTGTCTTTGGATATAAAATTCTCTCTGAAACACAACCATATGGTCTGAATCATCACAGAGAGTTTGATTAAGTGGGTAATGGTCATTTATTTATTTTTTAATTTTAATTTTTTATTTTTATTTTTTGAGTTGGACTGTCAGTCTGTCACCCAGGCTAGAGTGCACACTCGCAGCAACCAAAGTGTCGACCTGCTGGGCTCCGGTGATCCTTCCGCCTCAGTGTTCCAAGTAACCAGAGTTACAGGTGCACACTACAACCCCCGGCTAATTTTTTTATTTATTGTAGAGATGAGGTCTCACCAAGTTGCCTAGTCTAATCTCAAACCTGCAGGCTCAGGTAATTCACTCACCTGAGCCTCCCAAAGTGCTGAGATTACAGGCTGAGCCACCGAGCCTGGCTTGGTCACGTATTTGAATTACTTTTTTTAAAAAAAGAAACGCTCATAATTATGTGCTATCCTTTATGGGGCTCATTCCCGGCATTCTATCATTTTCCAAAAGGAAGATGTGTGGACATGTGCATGTGTATGCCTATTCCTATGGAAACTGTCCGACACAGATGTCCCTCCTTCATCTTATAGGAAAAATTGTAGATGAAATACTCTGATACAATGATCTGTTCAGAATAATCACATAAGGATGTGCATACAACATGGTGACTCCAGATGATCTTAGAATCCTGCAAGTGTCATTTAAGGAAAAAAAAAAACCAGTTGTATCAATTCCATCGTTTTTTTTGGAATAGGGGGAACAAGGGGACCTGTTAGTGTTGTAGTTAAACAGAAATAAATTGTGATTTTACGTAAAGTATCTCGTATGAACCCTATCAATAGCTTCTAGAGCGTCCAGAGCTCAGCAAGCATGAGAACTCGAGGAGAAGAAAGGTAAGATGGCTTGTTAAGGCTGCCAAGATGCTAACATGGGACGCAGGAGTTGAACCCAGAAATTCTGACTCTAAAAGTTCCCCAAGTGCCTCCACAGTTCTGTCATTCCGTGATGCCGTTTCCCAGGTAAGCCTGCTGAGTTTGCAAAAGCCAGGAGCAAGACTCCTAAAAAAGTAACTGTCTAGAGGACTATAACGTTCTCTTTTACTCCATCTTTTTTTTTTTTAAGCCATCAAATCTCCTCTCTTGAGTGTTCTTTTATGGAGCATTTCACTATGGATTGCTTCTCAGTCTGAACCCCAACCTGAGTCATATCTTCCCCAGGCTCTTCCCAGGTTGCCGGCACCTAAATCTGCATGTCAATAATGTACTTACACAGCTGGCAGCCTCTGGTATTAAAATGTGCCTCAGAAACCATAGCAACTGATCAAACCCACCTGAGGCATCCCATTTCCATCACCCTCCTGTCTTCCCTCTCCCAACAGCACACAGCAGTCCCATATGGTTTCTCTTTTCTCCTGGCCCGCCACAATGCCTGCTACTCTTTTAAAAACCACTGCCTTTTAGGCCATCTTTTAGTCATGAGTAGCTGTCTCTGCTAAAATGGAGACTGTTACATTAAACCACTTACTTTGGGTGGAAGGGGTCCAGGCAAGCATGTAAAGAACTTTGCTAGGGCCTGAATCATAAAAGAGAAGCTTCATTTATAGTAGTAACAGAAGCAGTAATTTATCCATACACAGAAGAAGTACAACATAGCATCTCTGTAAATAAATGTACTTACTTAACAGGACAAATACCTCCATAATGGAGTCCCCCGACGGAGCACCCTCTATAATACAGGCAATATGAATGGCCACAGAAGTTCTTTCCAAAGAAGTCATCATTCACATCTGATCAAGATCACCTAACTCATCACGCTCATAAATGGAGAAACTGCAACATGAAACAAAGCTGATCTTTTACAACGTAACGAGCCTGTAAGTTCCAGTCTAAGAATGGCTGCCAGTTCTAGTATATCCTTGGATAAAGTGGTTGAAGGGACCTAGAAACAATCAAAGGGAAAAGGGGAGGCCAAGGTTTCTTCCGAAGACCTTTGTGACAGAAATAAGTGTGGTTTGGTGTAGTGACTCAAACGGTGGGTTTAAAATGCTTCTGTGAAGTTAAGAACTTCCATGAATGGTATATATGCTATTCAAAATCAGACCAGTGTTAGTCTGAGGGCTTAAAAAAAGAAAGAAAAGAAAGAAGAAGAAAAAAAAAGCAGTCAGCAAATAATTGAGAGTATTTGGAAACTTTTATAACAAGTATATACTGTTGCAACAACAAAAGATATGCTTTTTTAAGTAATTTATTTGTATTGTATTTAACTTAAGTACCAGCTCAAGACTGGTTAGAAGGAAAAACTAGTCCTCTCCACAGATAGTACCGATAGTAAAACAAAACAAAACAAACAAAAAAAACTTTACCAAAGTGAATAGGAATCATAAAAATAATGAGGTATTATCATGGAATAAACACTAATAAAACAAAATTCAGTCTGTTAGGCTAGAATGAAGATCTTGACTGCTATCCAACCCGTGCTGGGACACTGGTTTCATATATGAATGTACTAAAATTAGAGTATATAAGTAGACTCTTGACCCTCCCATGCAATTGTATAGTTGGTGAGTCAATTCCTTTAGCCTTTCCTGCTTGCTACCAGAGTTCAATGACCTTTAGGTTGTGAAATGTTATTTACAAAATAAGGATAATAAGGTTTACCCTGTTAAGTTAAATGCAAGGTATTATTATAAGTATTGATTTCCTGTGAAAATACCTGGCTATACTATTAATGAAAAGATGAGTAACATCAAATGATCCAGACGTATAAGCCAGTTTTACTGGGTTCAGAAAAAGTATAAAAGACTTAAAATATTTACATCTATGCATTTTAAATGAAAAGATTTCCTTTTATTATTTTGTTGGAACTGGTGATTATCACTTGTAGAAATCTGGCACCCAGTTCCTATATGGCTCTGCAGAGGGACTTAAAAAAAAATCTTTTTGTTGTTGGATCAAATGTCATTGTTTAAATGCTTTTATTTGAGCTCTTTTTCACATCAAAGTACTTTCATGACTTGTAGTCTTAAAATCAAAGTAAAAGAAGGTTGAGTTGGCTTTTCTTATGGAAGGAGAGAGACAGCAGAGAAGGAAAGGCTGTAGAGAGAGAGACCAAATCAAGAGGCTTTGGGATCATTAGATTGTTCGGGAGCCTCGAGTTCAGTCCAAAAAGGAGTCCGCCTGTGGGCACTACAGGCCACAGCCCCATCACAGCACAGAGGAAAAACAACTGCTTTCTTTCTGCCCCAGGGTAGAAATGAAGGA